AAAATACATATAAACTTAAAAATAACAACAAAGAATGTAAGGTCTCAGAGAAGCCATGTTAAACATATACATTAAGGAAATAAGCCTACATGGGCTGGAAGCCTGTGCGTAGGCTCAGTCGCTATCAGTGACTGACGTATTTGTTGGAAAAATAAATAAAATAGAAAAATAATATGAATATAAATAATATTTATATTCATAAATATTCAGAGAATCTTAAAAACAAATGATTTAATATAATTGTAAAACTATACTGAGGCTAAATTAATGAAATGCGCATTTGAGGAATGAGGCAAGGCGGAGGGCATAGACATACTATAGTTAAGAATGTTCGATGTCAGTAATTCAGTAATAATTACGAGAGATAAAGTAGGGTCAAGTCTGCCTGTACTCTACTTTGATTAGGAGTTCTGATTCATCTACACCCCACTCTATCAGACAGCCAGTGATGCATTTTTTGAAAATAGTAATCGATGGAGAATGGAACAAATGATAAGAATTACAACGGGAGATAACATTACGATATAAAACTTCAGAAATGTAAGAGGAATTTGTTAATGAGTAAGACTTGGTTAAATGGGAGGTAGTTATTCCGACATTCTGTGCATATCGGGTATTATAAGAATGTGATGTTTGGTTAAAAATAGAATCGAAGTTCTTGAAAATATGAATTGAAAGAAATTTGATAAATAACTGTCTTACACTGAGTAAGGATAATTCACGAAATAATGTGTTAGTGGGGTATCGTATTGGCTTATTGAAACAAACTTTGAGTAACAACTTCTGAAGGACAAAGAGAGTTTCTAAAACAGTGGGAAAAGCTCCGCCCCATACGATAATACCAAATGAAAGTAACGACTGGACATAGGCGTAATATGCTAGCTTCATTTCCTGCATTGTTAATATGTCACGCAGTTTCCTAAATGCAAAAATATATTTACGTAATTTAGAGGTTAAAAAATGTATATGGTCAGACCACTTCATACGATTGTCAAAAATCACACCTACATATTTATAGGAACTTACTTTAAATATTTAGGTGTGATTTTTGACAATCGTATGAAGTGGTCTGACCATATACATTTTTTAACCTCTAAATTACGTAAATATATTTTTAGTATATTTTTAGGTTCCACCAAACAGACTATAACTGATCAGGTAGCCTATTCAAGCAAGGACTATATTTTTAGGAATCTCGTTTTACTTAGAACTTAATCCTCAGAGTAATTAAGACACACCGCGGGAATTCCTTTCTACAGTTTTTAGAATTCCCACAGTCAGCGTGAAAGTGTCCACTTCAGGACTGGTCAGACATCGACACTGTGACGAAGTGCGCGACCGCGGGAAAGTGGAGGTCATTTCGGCGGGAAAGGTCCCCGGCACAATGCAGTGTAAACACACTTGCCACCGCAACAGAAATGTACCGGCATTGTGCGGAACTGCGGGGAAAGTAGATTTGCCTAAGAAAGCCTTTGTCCGGCGGTTTTGTACGGGTTCAAATTGTTGCAATTTTGAAACTGTGAAGTGATAGTGAAGATTTGTATTGACACACTCGTCTTGAGTTACGATTTTCTATAGACTGTATGATGGAACCTGTCTCCTTACCGGTCCACCTGGGAATGGCCCGAGCCTTAAACCATTTCCCAGTCTACATGTAGACGAAGGGACGGGAGAAAGGTTCGTCATACAGACTATAACATTTTTTAGTTATCTGGACTTAGAACAATCGTTCCTAGGTTCATTGATAAAACGACATGCGTAATAATAAACGGGTTTATTGGAAAATATTTTTGATGGTTAATATTATTTGGGTTCCACTCCTTGTTTGGGAAGGTGATTATCAAAATACGAATTCTGTTTTAACCTAACTAGCTAGACCCTCCGTTAATTTACTAACAATTGTTGCATGATCTGAGATACATGAGTGGGTCAACCGTGAGAGAATGAAGTCTCTTTCCTGTGAAACAATGTCATTCTCTGATAATAGTGTATTTATCGATTGTGTTTCACCACTAATTGTTAGTTCAGTTTATTAAAATGATTTTTGCCCTTTAGGTAAGTAATTTTCAAAACATAAACTTTGTTAACCACCTAACTGGTGAAACCCACCGTTAAAGTCTCTGATGCGAATCTATGGCAAACTCTTATTGTGCCGTATTCATTCAGTGTACGTCAATATAGTGTGTGTGATGGAACCTGTCTCCCTACCCTTCACCTGGGGACTGGTCAATGGTGACCCGGGCTATTCGCAGGGAGATGGAGGGTCAAGAGACAGGTTCCATCATACACACTATAGCGTATTCAACAAACAGTAATTTTCATCTGTTGGTGAATCAATACAACTACGACAATTTTCAAAAACTCGCGACAGCTTTTACATGGTGATGGAATGTCTAACAATAGTCAAAGGTATTGACGGAAAGGGGAAGACTCGTCTAGACGCACACCCACCTAACCTTGAGTTGACTGACTCACTTTCCGAAGATGAAAGTAAGGAAAGTCGTTGACCCAGGGGCCCGGGGCGATCCTACTTTCTTCCTGCCTTTTGCCCAATTTCGGATCGACTCAGTTCACTTTCTCAGGCATAAAGATTAGAAAACGAACTTGTCCGACCACTTTCGTCGCGGCGGCGATCAAAAAGTTACAGGTTTTGGAGAGGTCGCGCATATTCCCACACCTCTGGCCTTAGATCATGATCGGGATAGCAGCTGACTGCATCGAGGGTGTGTCGTGCCAATTTAAAAGGTTGATCAAAGAAAGTGTGAGAAGGTAAAATTTCAGTTTTTAATTTTTAGTGTAGACCTAGGGTGTAGTAGTTAGAGCGCAGGACTTCAGTCCCTGAGGTCCCGGGTTCAAATTTCGCCAAATCACCAATGCATTTTATGTAAGTTATAATGCCGTAAACCCTAGGTCTAGCCTGAAGTAGTGTGAAAAACAATTCCGGGCTCGTGCCTAGCGTCCTAGCAAAAACATGGTGATTGGTTGGATTTGAACCTGGTACTTCAATGGCCAAAACCTAGCGTTCTAATAAGACCAGCTCGATCCTCATTGTTATGTGTGTCGTGGTGATAATTGTAATGGTAATCAAAGAAAGTCTGAGAAGGTAAAACTTCCGTGTGACGTTATTAGGGTAGACCTAGAGGACCACGGTGTTAGCACATGTATAACCATTAATGATTGTCTGGATTTGAACCTGGTACTTCGATGGCCGAAACCTACCGGTAGCGTTCTACCAAGACCAGCTCGATCCTTGTTGTTATGTGTGTCGTGCTAATTTTAATGGTTGATCAAAGAAAGTGTGATAAGGTAAAATTTCCGTGTGACGTTTCAGGGTAGACCTAGAGGACCACGGTGTTAGCACATGTATAACCATTAATGATTGGCTGGATTTGAACCTGGTACTTCGATGGCCGAAACCTAGCGTTCTACCTAGACCAGCTCGACCCTCATTGTTGGTGTGTCGAGTAAAATATCATGGTCATTTTGTTGTCACATAATTTGTGATATGGAGAATTAAAACTCAAAACCCCCAAAAAATTCCCACAATGGGTATTTACGAAGGAAATAGAAATAATAAACAGCTTTCAACGTTATTTGAAGGGGGAGTGAACTGGTCCAGTGGTAAGAGCGCGGGACTTCTTTCCCTGAGGTCCCGGGTTCAAATGTCACCCATTGGATTTTATCCAAGTGATAATGCCCTACAATAGGTCTAGTCTTAAGTAATGTGAAAAACAAAACCGGGCTCGTGCTTCGCCGGGGAAATATAGTGTAAAATAGTGTGCAGCCGAATAATAATAAATTCCCGCATACTAACGAAAAATTGTTATTTACCCCCATTCAATTCGCACAGACACCCGGGTATTTTACATCTTTAGATACTATAACAGCATAATGCTCTACACCAGAAACTAGCTCAACCCACAAAACATCGGCCAAACCCGGTATTCTTCATTAGAAAAACAGTGTGAAACAATAGACGTGAAATCGGTCTGCAAAACGGTTTTTTTCACACCAGATCCGATGTGGTTCATTTCAGACGTCAATACTAACTGTATCTTGCCCCTAGAGATACTTAAAGAGTGTATTGATATAGCCCACATGATATTTAAACTGTTAACAAGAGTAAAGTTAAATACCACCACCGCAGCAAATAACATAAGCGAATTTACATTGTATTGGCCTGATTGGATTTTTACAAAAACATTTCCTTACACATGTCAGATTATTTCAATAACATTACGTTTAACGACTACTGGGGTTGCTGCTACAGGGAGAGTAATTATTTGTAACCTAGTTCTTTGGAAATTTTTCCGAACCCAAGAGGCCCCACAAAGTTTCAGTATGCGTAATAATTGTTATCCAAGCACAAAATGGTTTGCAATTTTAAGACTTAAAACAATTAGAAAGATCAATTTTTACCCCCATAAAACTTCGATCCCATAGTCGGATCATGCTGGTTGCGAACTCGGTCGAACATAGGTTTATACGTTAGTACCAAATTTAATCGAGATCGGATTATTTTTACTAGAGCAATCGTGCTAACGGACATAACAGTCACATATATTGAGAAACATATGTTGTGCCGTTTGGATGTTGTTTTAGGTGACAAGTATTTTCACTCTACCATCAAAGAACTAATAGTACTTTAGGAAGGAAGTTCCAATATCAGAAAGTTCGTGTAAAAGACCCTAATTACAGTATATGAAAAGTGTATATACTTAATCATGATCATTGGTGATTGGCGGGATGTGAACCCGGTGCCCCCAGTGACATGAAGCACGCTCTACCAAGACCCGTCGTGCACTTCCACCGTACACTCTCGCCTGCCCAAAGGCTGTGGCTATGACACAATCCCGGCCATTGAAGGAATGAAAGTGCAGTTGTGGGTGGAGGAATGCTGTGCTAAGGTCAGGTCCCTTCACCATACACGATACACTATAACATTATACACTGTATAATGATGTATACCAAGGTCTAAAGTGGAAAAGTTCTAAACTCACCTCCACTGACTGGCTGGGTCCCCTATCTGAAACAACACATCATAATTAGTGATAAGTTGAAACACAACATGATAGGCTGATAACTTAGACTACGGAGAAGTATAGTCTGTATGATGGAACTTGTCTCTTGACCCTCCATCTACCTCGGGGGTAAAAATGTTTTAAGGCCCTGGCCAGTACCAGGTAGACCGGATTGGATACAGGTTCCATCATTCAGACTATAGTAATTTTCTAGTTGAATTTCGCCACCATAGTGCCAAAACAGTACTGATTTCTGTCTCACCGCTAGCGGTCTACACGTAAACATGGTCCTACAAAATAGAATCTCCTGGCATTATTAAAGCGTTTTTCAAGTTGAAATGAATTGTAAAATATTCACAACTAAACTATGCACTGGATGAACTGAAACTTCTCAATTGTATCTTGAAAATCCGTAAATTAAGTCTTTCTCACGATTTTACCCAATGTCAAGCTCTGAATCATTGGAAACAAATTAGTTTTTGAATGTCGAAAGCTTGTACCGTAGAGGCATGTTCAGGAACATTAGCATGTTAAGCGGCCATCTTGAATTGACCTGGTAGAACCCTCTTTTAAAGGAAAAATACCTCCGCCGCAGCAAACCTGCAGACTAAGCGAATTTCCATTTCCCTGGATTGATATACAATATTTAAATAACATTAGGTTAAACGAGTACCTAAGTTTGCTGCTACAGGGAGGCTAATGGAAACATTTTGTTACAGCTGGTCAATATTGTTGGGATACTAACCCTCTTATCAATCCTAAATACTGAAAGCTTTATCTCGAAAGGAGGGGTTTTTTTCGATTTCTCTTGCACTAATATCTTTGCAATTATATCTGCAACTTCAGGATCTTTGAATAAAAACCTTTCCTTTACACCTTTTCTTTACACTCAAAGTCAACAGTAATTTCGCTTGTCCAGCTATCCAAGAAAGGCAACCCCTGGTTTCTCCCCATTTAGGTTACCAGAGTCACCTTCCAAGAAAGAGAAAGAAAGTCCTTCACTAGGATGTCACCCCTACACCGACGGCTTTCACTCAGTCGTCAATCTTGACACTGACCTAGCCACTATAGTCTGTGTGATAGAGCCTGTCTCCTGACCATCCGTCTACCTGGGGACTGGCCAGCGGTTTAAGGCGGAGACATGTTCCATCATACAGACTATAGCCACTAGAAAATGTCGTTGAACTTGCATACAATTTGATCATATTTATACGATGTTCCTTTGTATATTCAGGTGAGAACGAGGAATGAATAAATTAGATGACTTAGGACTGGAAATCTTCTGGTTCCTACTTGAACACTATAGACATTATTAAGGGGAAATCTCTTTCATTGCCACTATTCACTAGCCGATACCACTTAACTTTCCATTCATTCATGTTCATTTCTGTCGATATGGAAGATGATCTGGAGGAGATGTAGCGTAAGGTTAGGTTAGATTAGGTTAGGTTGGTATGGGTTCAGTAGGTAAGGTTGTTGGTGAAACAACAGGAAACACCATAGCGAATAAATAATGAGTCAATTTTAAATTACTACAACGTTCTAGGACATAATAAAAACATCCTAAAATAGTGAGGTAAAACTTCAAAAACGAAGATGAGACATAGCTTGTAAATCGTTGAAAGGAATAAATTATGAGTCAAGATGGGCTCTTTTAAATTATTACTTAACAATCTAGGACATGACAAAAAAACCCTAAAATTGTGAGGCAAGACTTCAAAAACGTGGATACTACCAAAAGAAAGTTGATCTGTCACTAGCCTTCAATGATTCCCATTTTAAAATCTTTACTACACATTGGGAAATTATAGAAACCACTCTAAGACTCAAGGTCAAGATGCAAAATCGTACATAGGTGTATGGCGGAGTGTTATAACAACCAACCCTTGAGAACGTTTCAAGAATTACGTAAAGACACAAAAATGTTATGCGAAGTTCAGTAAAACTCGATAGTCATTAAAAATATATGATAATTTACAGTAAACCCTCTCTAAAGCTGTTCCACCTAATTTTTTTTACACGTTTAAGATATGTTAAAAATATAAAATTATGGGCGAATAGAATGGTGAGCATTCTTGTTACTCTAATTTCTAGATCCATCCATTTTTTTCTACTGAAACTTTCTTACCATTATCATAATTTTTGATGATGATGAACAAGAAGTTTTAAGTTCAAGTGTTTAGAAAAGTCGTAAAAAACCGTGCGTTCCTGAGGAATTGGTTAATGGAGAGAAAGAACATAACTACGACAGTTAAATTCAACAATACAATCCCTTCCTTTGTTTATTAACTCGACCAGTTAATTTAGTTTAATTGGTCTTTACAACTGTTTTATTGTGTATTGTTTCTTTTTAAGTGTCAGTAGTTAAACGTTATGTTCTATTTTACTACGTCAGTATTCTTTAACTTTATTCGTTGAGCTGAGAAGATCGTGATGCAAATCTTTTCAAAGTATCTACATCTTTTCAATCTTCAACAGACTGATTATCAATAATGAATGTGGTGTCAACTAGGATTTTACCAAGAGTGTTTTGATCGTATCAAAGTATGAAACATCTGACTTGATTAGACATTCAATCTCCATGTTAAAGTTGTCACCGGTTTTTAAGTCAAAATGGACGTAGTTCAAGTGAGCCACCAACAGATTGCGCTGATGTAAATTACTGATTTTTGTTAAATATTCAGACTTTTTAACCAAGTAAAACTGATGAGACGACGTATTGGGAGCTATATCATCTGTTATGTCACCTCAACTACCTCAGTCACGAAGAAAGGTAGACAATACATTTTAGACACCAGCGAAATATGTTATTAGCTCCTAAACTATGTTCTTTTCAAATAAAAGATTTGCGACGGCTGGTCCATAGATGAAATGTCTACTTCAGTATCCAACAGTCAACGATAAAACTCTGTTAGGACCACCCATAAAGTTGTACCCAAAACACCGATTACCTTAGATTAAAATTTCTTCATCCAGAAGATTGACGACCAAAGGATATTTTCCTCAAAGTTGGGTTTGCTAAACTGGTTAATTACAGAGGCCTAAGCGTTTGACCTTGGCAAAGTCGTGTGGAAGAATCCTACACCAAGGTTAAGGATACGCCTCTTTACCCTACGATGTCGGAGTTGGAGAGGATCCAACATTTCGTACGCCTTTGGCTTCACCAACACAGGAAACAAGCAAAATATTAAACAGGTTGCTTTGTAAACAATTTTGCTGGGATGCTTTACTGATGATGTAATGTAAGTCATTTTTGGTTAGGTCAAAACCCTTTGAATTTTGCCCAGATTTATTTTACACTGCGAGTAAAATGAAATCACAAACCTGTTAAAGGACTTGTATTATTAGCGTTTTTAAGAGTTCATGAGTTAAATGTACCATCAAAGCTATGTTTACTTGCATGCTGTGGGGAGCAATATTGTTTAGTGGCAGAGCGCAGGACTTTCTACGAAGCCCCGGGTTCAAATCCTGCGATTCAACAATGGATTCTAAAGTGATAATGCTGCGACCGACTCTATTCCTAGCCTGAAGTAATGTGGAAAACAATTCCGGACTCCTAGAGGAATACAAATAATGCATGTTGTGACACATAGAAGCAGGACGAGGACGTGTATTTGATCTGCCCTTTATAGTTTATTTGAAATGTTGAGTGGTTTAGACATTGGGGTTTCGATCCAACTAGGAACCAAACTTTTTTTAAAGCTATAGGAACTAACTCTCACACTAATTTTTTACTCACAAATGTTTCAACACGATGCTGAAAATGAAGGAAACTCTTGTAATAACCTCTGTTCAGTAAAACAAGGTGCTTTTCATCTGACTATCGATTGGCAGACACATTGGTTTTAAGTATAGAAGGGCAAAGCCATAAACTGTGTTCAATGATTAGATAAAGCTACAACAACTACAACTTGTAACAATAAATCAAAGCATTTTCGACTCAGGATTGTCTCCTGATTTAAATTCCAGTGTTAAATAGCACGGGGGCAACGTTGGCATTTCATTTAAATTCAAGGTCCGTTCTCAACTTTTGGAAATACTCACCAGAGACAAGACAAAGAGTTTTGAATATGAATACTCGGAATGACGCCATTCTCCTCAGCAGAATAAGTTGTTTGAAATTCAAGGACGCAGAATTAGCAACGACTCGTCAACAGGTGACAATTCACTCATGAATTTTGATAGCAGTGATGTGGGAACAGCTGACAATTAACAGCTGATTGCTAATTGTCGAACAGGTGGTCGTCAATTGTTTGCCAATAGACATGTCCTGGGTTCAAGGGCACACCCCTTCTCCTTACAAGGCCGTAAGTTGTCATCCTTATAATGCATTAGTGTATAGTCTGTATGTTGGAACCTGTCTCTTAACCCACCATCTACCCAAGTCAAACATAGACGAAGAACATAGGAGGGTCAGGAGAAGTGTGTACGGTTTGGAATGAGGATGTTTTTCTCTTAGCTGTGGTTGCATTAAGACACCGAAAAACAGCGTTATGGGCTCTATAGTCTGTATGATGGAACCTGTCCCCTGACCCTCTGTCTATCCCAGTCCCCGGTAGGCAAAGGGTCAGGAGTGTACGATACAGGTGTATGCGGTTTGGAATTTGGATGTTTTACTCTTCTATGTGGTTGTATTAAGACACCTAGACACCGAAACACCACGTTATAGCTCTATAGTCTGTATGATGGAACCTGTCTCCTGACCCTCCGTCAACCCCAGTCCCAGGTAGACCCGGTCAGGAGATCAGACTAAAGAGCATACAACTTGGACCAAATGGTGGTTAAACGACTGTCGTTTAGTAACCACAGGGAAATAAATTGACCCTAAGGAACTAAAACATCCACATTCCACCCCGTACACGCCCCAACTCACCTTTTACAATGTCTTAGATTGCTCTATCTCTGATCACTGTAGAACTAGGAAGTGTTTCAGCCGATCACACAGTGGACATTATAAACATAAACAACCGTTGGCCGTGAGTGAATGGAGTAATCGCCCAGTGTC